TGAGAACAATTCATCGGTGGAAAGAGTTGCAAGTGACTCCATCACTGGATTTATTTTTATTTTTTTTAAAAAGAGACTGGACAGTTATTTGTCTGAAACGCTGCAGGTAGGGTCTCATTAAAACAGCGGGCTGGGCTGGGTGGCCTCTGGGTGCCCCTTCCCGAGTCGAAAAAGCGACGCAGTGGCAGGAGCGTGTCCCCCCCCCAACTCCTTCCTTTCGTCTTTTTATTTTCTGTCTGTACCCCCCCTTCCCTGATTTGAATTGTGAGCCGCCCTGAGTCCCCTTGGGGAAAAGGGCGGCATATAAATGAAATCAAATCAAATCAAATCAAAGTTGTGATTGGCTCCATCACTGGAGGTTGTTTTTATTATTATTATTATTATTTTTTAAAAAAGAGCCATTTGTTCTTTAAAAAATGGTGTAGGGTTTCCTGCGAGAGCACGGGGTTGGACTGGATGACCTCCAAGACCCCTTCTGACTCGGTTTTATATGCTCCATCCTGGGGTGCCCCGTGAAGCAGCAATCTCTCCCCTACCGCCCCCTAGAGGCTGTGCCACTTCTGCGCATGCCACCCCACCATATCTCACCCCAGAGCCAATTCCCGGAATCCCAGACCGAAATGCGACAACTTTTGCGACAGGCGTGCGTCGTGTGTGTGTGTGTCCCCCTCCCACCACGGCGTGCCGTACACACAGACCCACACCCCCTACATCTGCAATGCGGCTGGTTTTCTTGCATTGCAAAGCTCAGGGGGGGACGAGGGGAGGCGCAGCCCCAGACACAAATGCCACCTGCATGTTTTACAGCCACCCCCCAATTTGTGACATTTGTGTAGCCAGGGGGACGGCATTGTCGCAATTGTTTTGTGTGTGTGTGTGTGTGTGCACTTGTAGGTCCAGGAAGAGCTATTAAGTGTCCGGCAATAATGCCCCCGCTGTGGAGAAGGGGGAATTTTTTTTGGAAAGGGCCAGGAATTCCGCGCCGAGGGCGTATCCTGGCACAATCGCACCCCTATTGCGGTGTGCGGTTGTTGTCGGTTTTTTTAGTCCTTTGTGTAGGCTGCGCCTCGCCTTTCCCTCCCATCTTATTAACACACCGGTCCAGTCGACAACCACATAAAAAACCGGCGAGTTAAAACATGGGGCGGGGCGGGTGTGTGTGTGTGTCCCTGCGGGGAAATCTTGGTGTGTGTGTGTGTGTCTGTCTGTTTTACACATGCAACACACCCATTGCGAAACACGACAATTTGAACCGGAAAAAGTGTTGTGCCTGGTTTACTCCTTGTGCAAAAACGCACATCCCTCCTCGTTGGGACACCAAAAGGTTCTGGCTCTTTTTTATTATTATTTTTGGCCACCATAAGGACTAGTAACTTGATCTTTCTCGAGTTTCGCCAGCAAAGCAAAGCCGAAATTGCTCGAGAGGGAAATTCTACAGCTGGGGAAGTTGGGTGTGTGTTTTTCGGGACGCAACACACATTGTGTTCCAACAACAAGCCAACAATGACCGACACGTTGGATTCAGCAGGTTTAAAAAAAAAAGAGGGGGGGGGATTTTGGTTTCTTAATTTAGCCTCAAAGAAGCTCCGTGGGTGGTCCTCGACTTACGACCACAATGGGGACCAGGATTTCTGTTGCTAAGCAAGGCAGTCATGTGCACATTTTGCTATTCCTTTTGGCCACGGTTCTTAAGCAAATCATTGCAGTTGTTTATAACGAATCAGGCCGTCATTAAGCGGATCTTAATGGACTTTGCTTGGGAAAGGTCGTATCTGGGGATCGTGCGACTCCCGGAACTTGAACAACTGTCATAAATACAGGATAGTCATCAAGCATCCCAATTTTTGATCACGTGACCGTGGTTGGTTGTAAGTGCGAGGACTGATGGTAAGTCACTTTTTTCAGCGACGTTAAAACTTTGGAAAGGTCACTAAACAGGGACTGCTGTACTGTCCAGTGTCACGCGCTCAAAATTCAATCACTTGGCAACTGACTTGGACTTATGACGGCTCCACTGTATCAGGGGGTCCCCTGATCCTACTTGGTGGCCTTCCCAGGCTAAGTCAATGGGATTCACTTAATGACGTCCTGATTCACTAAAGAACGGCAGTGAGATTTGCTTAAGAACCGTGGCCAAAAATAATAATAATAATCGCAATATTTGTGCATGACTCAGTTAAGGACTGTCCGGCCTAGCCATGGAAATCCGGGTCTTCATTTTGGTCGTAAGTTGAGGACTAGCTGTGCAGCTTCTTTTGAGGCTTCTGAACAACCTCGTCACTAATGTAACAATGCATGGATTCGCTTAACAACGGTGGCACGAAAGGTCGTAAAACGGGGGCCAAACGCCCTTTGTGTCTCACTTAGCGATAGAAATTGCGGCCGTAAACCGAGGACTACCTGTTATTCTACATCAGGGAGAGGAAAACCCTTCTTTTCATGGGGTTTTTTGGTTATTTTTCCCCTTCCCCTCCCAGGAAAAATAGGGGGAAGACTCTCTAGCTGCACCCGGCATTCCTCTTACAAGGCCCCCCACCGCAAGCATCTTGCCGAAGAGGGAATCGGCGGAGTCCGGCTGTTGCCACAGCGCCGGGCCTCTCTTGCTTGCGAATCCGCACTAATTGCCGGCAGCCGATCCGTAATTAAAACTTCCACGCTGACATTTTCCCGACATCTCAATATCAAACACTGCAATTAATCCCAGCCGCCGAGAAGGTCGCGGGAGGGGGAGAGACAGAGAGAGGGAGGGAGGGACGGAGAGAGACAGACAGAGAGGGAGGGAGGGAGAGGGAGTGAGAGAGAGGGAGAGAGAGGGGGAGGGAGGGACGGAGAGAGAGAAGGGGGAGGAACAGAGAGAGAGAGAGGGAGAGATGGAGAGAGGGAGAGAAAAAGGGATGGCGAGACAGAGAGAGGGAGGGAGGGACAGAGAGAGAGGAAGAGAGGGAGGGACGGAGACAGAGAGAGGGATGGAGGCAGAGAGAGACAGAGAGAGGGAGGGAGGGACGGAGAGAGAGAGGGAGGGACGGAGAGAGAGAGGGAGGGACGGAGAGAGAGAGGGGAGGGACAAAGAGAGAGAAGGAGGGATGGGGAGAGAGAGGGAGAGAAAAAGGGATGGAAAGACAGAGAGAGGGAGGGAGGGACAGAGAGAGAGGAAGAGAGGGAGGGACGGAGAGAGAGAGGGAGAGAATGAGGGATGGAGAGACAGAGAGACAGAGGGAGGGATGGAGAGAGAGAGGGAGAGAGAGAAAGAGGGATGGAGAGAGAGAGAGGGAGGGAGGGACAGAGAGAGAGGAAGAGAGAGAGGGAGGGACAGAGAGAGAGGGAGGGAGGGTCGGAGAGAGGGAGGGTCAGAGAGAGAGAGAAATAGAGGGAGGGACAGAGAGAGGGAGGGACGGAAAGAGAGAAGGAGAGAAAGAGAGATGGAGAGACAGAGAGAGGGAGGGAGAGACAGAGACAGGGAGGGATGGAGAGAGAGAGGGAGAGAAAGAGGGATGGAGAGACAGAGAGAGAGGGAGGGAGGGACAGAGAGAGGAAGAGAGAGAGGGAGGGACGGAGAGGGAGAAGGAGGGAGGGACGGAGACAGAGAGAGGGATGGAGACAGAGAGACAGAAAGAGGGAGGGAGGGTCAGAGAGAGAGAGAAATAGAGGGAGGGACAGAGAGAGAGCGGGATGGAAAGAGAGAGGGAGAGAAAGAGGGATGGAGAGACAGAGAGAGGGAGGGACAGAAAGAGGGGGGAGGGAGAGAGAGAGAGAGAGAGAGAGAGGTGGACAAACCGCTGTTTGTCTAAACCATCGTTTGTGCAATTTCCAAGCTTGCTCCTTTTGTGAGCGGACGTCCTCGACACCTGTTTTGAAAAATGGAAACAGCAGTAGGGTGGGCGAGGTAGCCTCCCCCCCTCCACCCCGAGTCTTAATTTTGCTATTTTTGCAAAAACACCCCAGATGGGGAAAAAGAGATTTCCACTAAAAGTGGGGGGAAAATTAGCTGAAATCTCACATCTTGAGAAGCAGGGGGGAGGGGATCCCTTTGCTCTGATCGACTGGGATCTCCCCCAAGGCAAAGTGGAAAGAGATCACGGTTATCCTCGGTTAGGGAAGGAAACAAACCCCGACAGACCAGCATGGGTGTTTGGGGGCTCAACTGGGCAAGCTTGCAACTTTTTGGGGGGGGGGGGGGGGTGAATTTTTGGGGGCTGGAAATCAGAGACATTGCAATACGGGTAGTCCTTGAGTTACAACCACAATGGAGGCCCAAATGTACGTTGCTAAGGGAGATGCTTAAGTGGTCCCCGACTTTGCTTGTTGTTAAGTTACTCCCGGAGTTGTTAAGGGAATCCAACTTGGCTTGTCGCCAAAGGGGATTGCATGACACACACACGCAGACACACACACACCGGAACGCTGCAACCGTCATAAATATGAAACCAGTTGCCAAGCGTCTGAGTTTCAATCATGTGGCCATGGGGAATGCTGCAATGGTTGTTAAGTGTGGAAAAATGGTCATAAGTCAATATTTTCCTGCTACAGCTATCATCAACAATACTCTCTTGAAATCCCCTTTACTTCATTCTCACCACCATCTACTCAATATCTTCCTGCTACAGCTATTATCTACAATACTCTCTTCTAATCCCCTTCGCTTCATTCTCACCACCATCTACTCAATATTTTCCTGCTACAGCTATTATCAACAATAGCCTTTTAATCCCCTTCGCTTCATTCTCACCGCCACCATCTACTCAATATTTTCCTGCTACAGCTATTATCAACAATAGCCTTTTAATCCCCTTCGCTTCATTCTTACCGCCACCATCTGCTCAATATATTCCTGCTACAGCTATTATCAACAATAGTCTCTTTTAATCCCCTTCGCTTCATTCTCACCGCCACTAACTGCTCAATATTGTTCCTGTCTCCTCTGCCCTCCTCCCTACCCATTTTCCAAATTTTTCCTTTCAAGGAGCGAGGTAGGGAGCCGGGAGTGAGAAGGAGGACCCCCATTTCTAAAACGGATTTATTGTTTGGCTCAGTCACCGATGATCCCGGATTCAGCGGGAGGGACCACCAAATTTAAAAACACAACAATCATAAAAAAAAACATGGGAGCAGCGCACCAGCTACAGGAAGTTGCTTTCTTCACGGAAGATAATATAATGGAGCCGTCCGTCAGGATTGTTCTCATCGAGAACAGAAAGCGCGGGGAAGCTGACACGGTCCAGAGGGTGGGTTTTTTTTGGGGGGGGGCAATGTTCACCCCAAAGAGGAAATTTTGGGGTGGGGTATACAAAGCCAACCTCCTCTATTTAAGCAGCACAGTTTTAAGTCCTTGGGAGATTGCCAGTGGAGTAACGGGGAGAAATCTCGTCTCTTTGGCGTGAAGTCCTGGGGAGATTGTCTTCGGCTGAAATCTGGAAGGGACTCAAATCTGAATTTTCTTGTTTGGGGTGGGGGAAGCCAGCTTGGTGGTGGTGGTGATGGGGGTCTCCATCCGGTCCCGGAGGCAGAAAGCACAGATTTGATATCCGGTGGTGGGAACGAGACACGACGCCTGGAGGGAAAGATCGGAGAAAGAGGGATTGTTATAAGAGCCCATGGCAGTGAGATTTCCCGATGCAGAAATGTGACCGGGGGCCAAGCAGGGGGGAGGGGGAAACGCGACGGTTATCAAAGACTTCTTCTAATTTGGTGGGAGCGCCCAAACTCGCCGTCTGAAAATATACGAAGAAGGTTCAGCCGTATTTTCTGCTTCGATTTTTTTTCCCCGCGGGGAATTTTAGCCACCCAAAACTCTCTCGGAATGCGAAGTTTGCGTCCCGTGCCCGATTATTTTGCAACGAAGAGCAAATTTCAGGCTGCCAACCCTGCCTGCATTTCATTCCCCCCTTCCGGATCTCCCCAAATTTTAATCCCCTCCCATTTGGGGGTCACGTTTGCTCGTTCGCCGCCTCCCTCTGGAAAAGGACCGCATATCCGTACAACTTTCTCGCAAGTTTTGTTACATTTTTCTTAACTAACACCTTTCGGAGGTGGGGGGAGAGGGCAGGAGGCAGACAGAACCCCCACTTCCAGGGCAGTACAGTTGCACCTACAGCTAGTCCTCGACTTACGACAGATCACTTAGTTCCAAGTTACAACGGCACTGAAAAACTGACTTTTTCACACTTATAACCCTCGCATTCCCACGCTCGCGTGTTCAAAATCCGGACGCGCTTGGGCAACTGGCTCATATTTATGTTCGCAGAGTCCCGGGGTTAGGTTTCTGCGGCCTTTCTGACAAACCGAAACAATCGGGAAGCCAGAATCACATCACAACCGTGTTTCCGAGGTGGCGCAGTGGTTAAATGCAGCACTGCAAGCTACTTCAACTGACCGCAGTTCGGCAGTTCAAATCTCACCGGCTCAAGGTTGACTCAGCCTTCCATCCTTCCGAGGTGGGTAAAATGAGGACCCGGATTGTTGTTGGGGG